TGTTGCTGCCGACGTCGCTTTTTTTATTTTTTGTTTCCATTTTGTTTTGCATTTACTGGGAATTCGCAAATGAAGTTCGCTTGAAAATAAAATCACATGCAAAGCGGAGCAGTAAAGTGCCAAAGAAACTGGAATGGGGGGTCTGGGTCTGGGGATTGGGGATCCTGAGAAAGTGTATTCATTTTGATATATTTTTCGCAGGAAAATTGAAATGAGATTTATTACGCTTTGGGCACTCGGATTCGTAATTTGCCCATTCATTGCGCTACGGGTGGAAAAGTGATAAATAAACAAACGGTTCTCATCGGGGCGATTCGGCATCCAAACTTATATGGAACTTTAATTAGCGTTTCCAGTTAAGTCGGATGGGGCACGAGCTAAACAAAGTTCGTGACTGATTATGTTCGACGGGGTCTTAAGAGGCCTTAGGGGTACAATATCTCCATTGACGTAGGAATCATTTTGTTTATATTCCGCTTTACGCTCGCACTTGTTATCTCGCCTCTCATTTTGTTATCACGAGAAGGTTGAGGAGAGACCGAGAGGTGTTGATTATCTAGGCCCGAAAACGATAATAACGAAAATAATAATATTAACATTTAATGTGAAAAGAGGCGATTTCTTGGAAATTCGCACACAGCGAACAGGCTTCTCCATGATAAATCCATCGGACGTACACACACATACCGGTGGAAAAATTCCTGGAAAATATGCACACGGTACTCGCATGATGGTGAAGTCATGGAGTTCTTGTGTCTGTGTGCGGTTTTCTGATTAAACGAAAGCACTAACAAAAATTCAACTTAATTCGCTCCAGGTCCGGGTTAGGCCCAAATGATTTTTTGTTATTTTCTTTTTTGTTCTGGCCAAAATAAAAAGATGGTTTCCCTAGATACTTTTGTGCCGTCGGGTTTCTTTAGTCTGGGCTGAGCTGAAATTATGACCATGAACTCACAGAACTTTTGTTACGGAACAGTAACGGAACACAAACTATATACATATTTAAGGTGCTTCTGAGATTTGTTTTGGTAGCTTTGTGATATCATAATCGTATTATCTTGAGTGATGGCTCACAGATACGCTGAAACCATGAATAACTTAGATAAAGGTTTTTGAACCTATCATCAAGTTTTTTTTGGCTTGAAAAGATTGTTATACGAATAGGATAAAGTGATAAAGATGGAGATTAAGAATAGTTCGGATTAAAATCGGGTTATTTCAGATGAATAAATTGGTTAATAGGAATATTTCTTGAAATTTAAAATAATATGAATCATAAAACATACACTGTTCACTTTCACTTTACCCCTATATCTTCACCACTAAAATCATTATTGAGGTAGGTTTATCGCAAAAAACGTGACTGCACTTCTTGTACTGTTTGCAAACAATCAATTTTAATTAAAGTGTTCAATGTTTTACCTGCTTTTAGCTTCGAACTGAATTCTTAACTGAACCCCAATGGGCAGTAACCTGGCGTTTTATTTACCGATACGACAGCTAACAATGGGTAGTAAACGTGATTGATTAAATATGTAGTTTTAAATTTAGCGATTACGGAATCAGCTATCTGAAGTACTAAATCGACCTTTGCGAATACGTAGTCAGTCCGACAATCTTCCAGAGATTACGCAAGGCTCTATAAAAATTCATTGATAAATTACTACGAACCGCAAAATCAACATTTCCATACACCATCATATACAACCCACTACCCACTCACAAACACACTCGCTTATCAACAGAAACGTTTGCAAAGTTGAAACGAAACGAAATTCTTAGAACAATCAAAAGCATTTCGTTGGCTTTTCCAGGGAAAAGCAAATATGTAGGTAACCATGGGTCAAATGGGGTAAGGTGGGTGCTGGCGGGTGGTGGAGGGGGTGGCAGGCTGACATGCGCTAAGATAACGATAAAGACGAGGGCAAAAACAACTGGGGGGTAAGGTCAAGTCGAGATATACATATTATTATTATTGGCCATAGCAAACAAACATACTGCTAGTGTCACCGCTCAGGGATTTCAGATTTCAAAACTAAGACACAAATAGAGAATTTACATAAGCTACCTTTAGAATCGGATCGCTGGGGAAACTGAAAAACAGGAGATAGCATTCTTTGATCATATTGCACGTTTTTAGTTTAAAATAAGCTTGTTTTATTAAAACTTAATTTCTGTATTTTTTACAAAAAGTAACTTTTTGCTTTTTTAGCGGAAATACCTTATAGTTTTTCTGTTTGTATATTAAATTGTAATTTCAGTACATTCCATTTAACTGGGTTTCAATGGAAACACGGTTAAGTCAGCTATAAAAAAATGTACTTAAAAAAAGTTCAATTGTGTTAAGTACCAAGATTATATATGAAATAATTTCTGGGGAATCCGATGTGCTGCTCAAGTATAACTTATGGCAACACTTTTGTGGCTTTAGAACTGTAAATAACAACATGTGTGTTTTTCCGTTAATTGCAGTTCTCTATAAAACATCTCTATATTGAAACCCCCCTCTGGTTTTCCCTTGTGAACCCACTCGAGATCCACTCACACACCAACAATTGAGTGTTTTGCCCACATTTCACTTTTGGCATTGCGTTTCAATTGAACAAATTCACGCGAACAATTAACAATAAACGAACAAAATCAAATTTCCAACGAAAAATCTCATAAAAAAAGAAAAACAAACAACAATGGGATGAAAGGCAGGGAGAGGTGGAGGTGTAAGCAGGAGGGCAATAATCTACCTATGATTAGGTGCGCGAAAGAGAGAGATATATACGTAGAGAGAGAGGGATAGGCCGAATTGTTGCTGGGCAGACAATTTGGCATTTTTTCGCAAGATCGCTCTCTCGCTCGCTCCTAGCTGGCAGCTATCTCGCTCCAGCACTCACACTGCACTTATCCTGTGTTCGAGAAACCGTTTCACGTGAAAAGCTATTAAAAAAATTGAAAAGGCTCTCAAGTTTAATACGAAAATTCAAGGAAATGAGCGGAAGAAGATGGTACAAGCGGGTTTTTACCAAGAATAATCAAAAAAGTGCACACACACACATGCACACACTGAGAGGAACGAGCGCAGACAACAACAATTTGACGCATTACAAACGAAGTTAATAACACCTTTTCTTATGAAGGGTACAACAGCAGCGCCGATGTTCCCATGTTCCCCTACCATTCTTCCTCTCCTCTTTCTCCTCCGTCTCCTTCACCTTTGTTGTTGTACGGCTTCGGCCGAATTCAGCGGCTACACCTTTACATTTATACACCTTTAGCAAGAAGCCATGGCCAACAACAGAGGTCCAACAACAACAACGGTATGGGCAATAACAGCAGCAACCGGGTCTCGATATTGGTATTGGTGCGGCCAAGAGAACAGTGCAAGTACGGTGAAGCATCAGTGAGAAAGGAAGCGATGTATTGAATGACAGACCTTTCATATTTTTTAGATATATTAATTTACATTTTAATTTTGATAACATTCATATCTCACTGAGCTAATTAGGTTATACTTTTACATTTTCTCGTCCTCATGTTATACTAAACCTATATTTAAAGAGAAAAAAGGTTGCAAATGTACAGTTTAGGACCTACTTTTAGTTTATTATGCAAACGAGAATATGGTTATCAAAGTTACAGGTGGGCAAACTAAATAGAACTCACTTACTTTTCGATCATTTACATTTGGACCCGATTTCTGATCTATATGGCAAACTAAAAGCAGGGTTTGAACCTAAAATATGAACTAAACGAGTTGGAAATTAAACCCTGATTTAAAACCATTTGTGGCGTAAAGAGAGTATGAGATATCATAATTAGTAATATCATAATTAATATCAATATTTTGCATCCTAAGTTTCAAGATAATTTAATTACTTGATGCTTTGTTTTGCCAAAAAGTGGGCAATTTCTTTTACACTAGTTTATAAATGTAGAATTTAAATATATCAAATAAAGTTGTTGTTCCTCTAAAAATAAATTTATACTTCAGTGATTCCTGCTGGTAAATATTTTATCAAATTTGTACATTTAGTTGAAATTGGCTATTAAAGACGAGGACGGATATTAATAAATTTTTAAATTTTAAGACACCGATATATAATATTTTTTAGCCGTATGAAAGCTGAAGAATGCAGTTGCCTGATCAGAAATAATTTTGAACAAAAAACGAGCATAGTTTTTTTTGTTTCCAAAGCAAAAAGGTAAGCCAGCTGCATAGTTTTCTAGCTTAAAGGCACAACATGGGTTAAGCGCTACATGTTTTGACAGCTCATGTTATCAGTGATATTTGATATGGTTATGTTTGTCGTGGGAAAACACCGAGTGGAATGTGAGTCACTGGTTGGACAATATTTTTTGGGGGGCGCGACTAAAGCGAGGCTCCACTGTATCCGCATCTGCTCGTGCGCTCGCATCTGCATCTGTATTTGTATCTGGTTTCTGTTCGTGAGTTTCAGTTTTGAGGCTGTGTGAGGGCCAGCTTCATTTCAGCTTGGCTTGCGGTGTTAAATGTTTGCAGCAGCATTTTTCATTCAATAGCCCGACCGAACAAAAACAACAACGGCCAGCTGCCAACATCATCAAACACTCACTCATACTGGCGCACGAACCACGCTGTGAGTGTGTGTCTGTATATCTGTGAGAGTGCCAGCGCGAGTACGAGTATCTTTGTATCTGCTGGTTCGCTTTGGCTGTCTGTCACTTCTCAGAAATCGGTCTAAATTAGAAAATGCGTTTCTGGGAATTTCGTATCGCTCTTTTGGGCCCACAGAGCTCGGGCGAGCATATAAATATATATATTGTAAATATATATTATGGCTGTACAGACGACAATTCCCCTTATTCCCAGTTCTCGGAAAAATATGCCTTTCCCCCAATGAATTTATCAATGGCATTTGCAAATATTATATAGCGAACGGCAACTATTTTCCTTTGTAATTTATGCAAGCAGCGAGCGTTTCATGGAATGCCAATAACCACAAATATTTCACTACTTTTTAATTTACCTTTTTTTTGATTTGTTGGCTATTTTCGGTGTGCTGGTTATTTTGGCTAGTTGGCAATTTGGTTAAACCGTAGTTTAAGCATATTTTAGTTTTGCTTTCACAGGTTTTTTTTGTATTTTTTTTTACTTTTTGACGTTATCTCTCTTTGAGGTGACACTAGCACACACACACTTGCACACACTAATTGCACTTTTCGATCTGCGATGGCTCAACCGATTTTCCGCTCGATAGTGTGCAATTCCGTCAATTTGTGCAATTTCTCTCGACGAAACGAAACACGCACGAATACGAAGAAGTATCTCTTCCCCGAAAAGTATCTGTATCTTTCGCCCTGCGTCCGCTTCGTTCCGTTCCGTTTTCCGTTTTGAGTTAATGACGGAGAGCCGGTGTTACGTATAACTTACGTTTACGTTACGAGAAACATCGATAAAAACATCGATGCATCGAAGTTTGATAATTTTTTGAGAAACATCGATGTTTTTTTTTGGCGACCATCGATGTTTTAATCACATCACCAATTTTAAATAAACGGCAGAAGGCGAAAAATATGTTTTAAATTTAAGTTAATTACTGTCATGCGAAAATTTCCCAGTTAGTCCGCCATCCAATTTTGAGGCGATGTTTTTTCGGTGCAACTCTAAATTCTTTCTCTTAACTGTAAAAAATTGAAAGATGACCGCGAGCGCAAATCAAATCTATGGCGGGAAAATATTAATTTTTGCTATTGTTGAACTATTTGTAGTTTGTTATGGGCGGAGAAGCATTCGCAAACAGGTTGCTATGAGTGGGCCAAAGTGTAAGCAGTACTGTACGCAGAACGCGTACGAAAACATCCATGTTATGGTTACACCATAGATATGCAGAATGGTTGCATGGATGATTTGACTATGCCTTATCTACTTACATATCTCTTTAAAGATAATAGATCGCTTGCAATAATGGAAAGAGCAAGAAACATCTTTTGTAATATCTTATTATACTCTTTAAAAGGTTATTATGATTTCAGTCAGAAGTAAAGGAGACTGTTCTGAACCTAAAAAGTATATACATATATTCTTGATCAGCAGCCCTAGACGAGTCGATCTAGCCATGTCCGTCTGTCCGTTTCTACGCAAACTAGTCTCTCAGTTTTAAAGCTATCGGTTTGAAACTTTCTCAAAAGTCGTATTTTTATTGTAGCAGTATATAGATAGGTCGGAACTTGCCGGATCGGACAACTATATCTAATATCATAGTTTAGTAGTAAACCGAATTTAGTCGTAGTAAACCGTAGTAAACCGTAGTAAACCGTAGTAAATCGTAGTAAATCGTAGTAAACCGTAGTAAATCGTAGTAAATTGAAGTAAATTGTAGTAAATCGTAGTAAGTCGTAGTAAACCGTAGTAAATCGTAGTAAATCGTGGTAAACCGTAGTAAATCGTAGTAAATCGTAGTGAACTGAAGTAAATTGCAGTAAATCGTAGTAAATCGTAGTAAACCGTAGTAAATTGAAGTAAATTGTAGTAAATAGTAGTAAATTGAAGTAAATTGTAGTAAACCATAGCAATAACACAGTATGATAATTTATGATTGTTTAAGTCTACTATGACCGAAGTAAACCGTAGTAAATCGTAGTAAATTGAAGTAAATTGTAGTAAATCGTAGTAAATCGTAGTAAATTGAAGTAAATTGTAGTAAATCGTAGTAAACCATAGCAATAACACAGTATGTAAATTTATGATTGTTTAAGTTTACTATGACCATAGTTAAATTAACTAAAATTAATATTTAAGTTTTAGTAAATTTAATTAATCAAAATATGGCCATATTTAACTTTAATTAACTATTTAAAGATTCAACTTTTATTGGGTCTTCCCACAGAACTCCATCCACCATCCGTTCCATCTTCCTCTTGACTGTGAAAATTGGAACAATGATTGGAACGCCAAAAAACTCGAACAAATCAGGCCCACAGGGTGCGCCATTTTTGTCAAATTTGTCAAAAAACTCGAACTAAACAGTCTCACAGGGTGTTACGCGCCCCTTAAAAATAAAGCAGAAATAAGAAGACCAGCGGGTGGAGAACTTAGAAAAGCGAGATAACGGTGCCTCCAAAAACGGTTGTGAAACTGGGTAGGTTTTGAACATTACCGTTGCTCTATTTTTCCATCACGTATTTAAACCTTCTTTTATGGAAGACAGTATATCTGTCCCGTTCCCACTAATGCAAAACCTAATAGTTTAATAAATAAGATCGTCAAACTGCAGGGCACAAAAAATTTATTTATAAGCTTGCTTAAGTTTTTTGTAAATGCAATTTAAATATACAAAAGCTATTAAGTATACAAAATTAGAAGTTTTTTTCAGTATTTTACCGCTAAATTTATCACCTAGCATTTCTACATTATCACAATCAGGTCTTCTAATCTAATCTAATTTATAGGAAAAGAAAGTCGGACGCTTTAATACTCTTAAAAATATGAAAAAGTCTACTTTAAGTCGATGGTTGAAAAATAAATTTGAGAATGTAAATAATTAAACAAAACCCATGGCGATACAATTTAAGCTATCTAATTATATCGACCTAAAACCGTATGATATCCTTTGTACCTTGCTTCATTATAAGAAGTGGCACAATATGACGATACTTCTATAAGGGTATACAAATTCTTTTAGGGATTATCAAGAAAATAAAAAAAAACAAGAAGGAGATCGTCACAACAAAACAGTCAGTCAAGTATTTCTCTTCACCATGGCAACAGTAAAACAGCTGACAAAAATCACAGATATAGGCGATCTGAAGGATTTGCAAAAGCTGTATCTGAAGGATTGGCCCAGCAACTGTGTCGGCTATTTCTGGCTGGATAATTATTTGAGGTGGTTACATCAAAATCCGAGTTTAAATCACCTCAACTTCTACACTTTAGATAATGACTGGAAAAGCGATGGATTGTTTATCTTGGTGGTAAATTAAAGTTATCTTCAAATGTAGTTGATTTATGTCATTGATAATCTCCCATTCTAGCATCGCTATCAATTATTTTTTAGCAACTTAAGTAAACAGAAAACGGATCTGAAAATTGCGCTGGAATATTTGGATTGGTCGGGAGGATTCAAAGTAAGTGCTATTCATGAGGCCCATCATAAAATTTACAAAGAGCTTGCGGCGGAACTCAATCTTCATATGGATCGGGAAATGAATACAATTATGTATAGTTTGACCTGCCAGGAGGCTGAGAAATTGGAAGATGTTAAGTGCCCGGAGGGTTATTATCTAGGAAAAGTGCGTTTGGAACATGCAGATCTTATAAACGATCTTTGGTCCGCCCGTCATCCTGGTTCCCTAAAACTCATTCAAATGCTAATCACTAATAACAGCAATGTGGGATTGTATGAGAAGGAGTCTGGTTCATTATGTGCCTGGTGCTTAAGGTAGGAAATTATACATTTATTAAATAACTAAAATAAATGTTCTTTTAATTATGTTTTACAGGCTCCAAAGCGGTTTTCTCGGAGCTTTAGAAGTGATCCAAAGCCATCAAAGACGTGGTTTGGGGTTAGTGGTTGCTGCCGCTATTTCCAAGGCTATTGCCACCGATCTGCAGCAGGATATTACGGCCCTGGTTAATATGAATAATATTGCTGCCTGTCGCGTGTTCGAGAAACTAAACTTCAAATTGATGAAGGGCGAGCACTACTATTGGAGCATGATCAAACCAAAAGGAGGTGGTCAGATATCTTGGCCCAGCAATGAATAAATCAACAAGAACATATATAGATGTTAAGAGTGTTATTCAAAGAGAATCTGACTAATTCTTAACAATTCTTTATGAAAATATAGAAGTTGCTTGACTAGCTTCATGATTTTATTACCTAAACCAATAGGCTTTTCCATTTTTGCTTGGTGATTTGATCGGAAAGGTTGTCTCGCATGAATAAAATTTGCACTCAATTGAAAGTTTTTGTTTTGACAGATCTTCAAGATTTTCAAGGGCTTTACCAACGTGTTAAAAAACCGATATTAATTATTAAATAAATATGAACTATTTTAAAGCTTAAAGTAATTAAAATATAAATATCAAGATAAAACAAATCATATAAAGCTTTCTAAGTGTTTTCTGAGCCAGTTTAAAATTCATACTGGATCATGATCAAGGTAGAGGTCAGGTATCTTGGTCCAACAATAAATACGGCCAGACAGCAAATAGAGATACAGAAATGTCTACAAGGGCTAAAATGAATAACATCTATAAAGTGCATTACTATCTAAGATAATTTTTGTGTATAAATTGAATCACAGTCCGGTTGCCAGGGACTAGTTTCCAAGATGGATCATCAAACGCAAGTCGTCCAGCAACTGGAGGATCTCAAAAGTTTTTACACCCGAGATTGGCCCAAATATTGCAAGGAGTACTACTGCCTGGATAATTTTCTGGATCTCCATAAATGGGACCGCCAACTGAAGGATGTAAAAGTTTACGCTCTTCCCAATCTAGAACACGGATTATTTGTGATTGTGGTATGAACGTGATAGAGGTTTTTTCAACTTGTGAGATCTTATTTATATTTTTGTTATGTGAATTGTTAAGGATCGGTATCAAATTTTTGTCGGTTTTTTGGAAGCTGAAAGATCCGAAAGTGCTCTGAAGGAATCCTTATTGAAAATAGACTTTTTGGGCGGCGAACAATTTGCTTCTATGCCAAAAAGATATTTCACTGTTGCAAACGATATTATTCAGAAGAAAAATCTTACACTAGAACTCGATAGTATGACCTATTCTATGGTGTTAAGCAAAGAAGAGGCACTGTACTTTCAAGTGGAGTACGTATATACAAAATACAATGTAATTAGTATTTCAACTTATTTAAGAATTTTGGTAGACCAACAGTTGGATTTTCCCTAAAATCTGTAAGTCTAGAGGACGCTCAAGTGATTGATGACCATTGGGAATGGAGTGAACACGGCAGTCTTTCTTATATCCAACGCCAAATTTGCTATAATACCAGTGTGGGCTTGTATAAAGACGATGACAATGAACTCGTTGCCTGGTGTATAAGGTAAACATTTAAGATTAAGGTCCGAGCCCAGTACGAAATATATTATAACCTATTATTTTTTAACAGGGCTCAGGATGGTTTATTGGCAGCCCTCCAAGTCAAACCCTCCTACAAACGTCGAGGTTTTGGCGTTATGATTGTAAAAGAATACTCTAGACGAGAGGCTGAGCAAGGACGTGACATAATCACCGAAGTTGTTCCAGAAAATAAGGCATCGCTAAACCTATTCAAAAAATTAGGCTTTAGGATGAACGATCAGTGTCATTGGCTGATCACGGAAGCCCCAAATGGGGATCTTTTATAATACTTTTATCTGCAAATATTTGCTATGATGGATTATTATAATAACGTTTTATCGTCTGGGGGAAGAAGGCATAGGCTAGTCTTAAGAGAAACTGTTTAAGAGATTTCTGTAAGGAGAAATATAGAAGCTGCTTGACAAGCGAGTGATTTAATCAACCAACAGCTAAGCATTTAATCTATTTTTGCTCGGTTAGTTGAAGGGGAAGGATGTTTCTGAATGGAAATGTGCGCTCAATTGAAAGGTATTGGCTTGCCGGATCTCCAGGAGTTTCAAGGAATGTACAAATAAAACTACCCAAAATATTGTATATTTTCGATATTTTTGTCGAAAAAATCCAAAGATTTTCTTTGTCGATTTTTTTTTAAAATAAATTAAATATTTTGAATCAAGTGTACACACATTACATGACACTATTTTGATCGCTTCTATAAATTGGAAATCGCAAAACAGGCGACTTCCCTTTAAAAACATTTTTGGTACCACTGCTGACTTGTGATGACTTTGAGTCATTTTACTAAACTATGCTTATCTCCTAGAATGTTCACCCAATTTGTTAATATTCTTCCTCAACTTTTTGGGACTAACAGTCCTTCAGATCTGCATATTCAAAATAACTTAATAATATTTATTAGTATTATTAAAAACTGGCTATGAAAAAAAACCCAAAAATGAAACTTTTTTGAAACTTTCAGACGTTAGATGTCCATCAATTTCGCTCCGATCACATACCCATACCCATACCTTTTCGGAAAGGTGCATCTATTTCCTATTTGGACCATCGGTTTTTGAGAACTGTTACCTTTAGTAAAACAAGTGGTCAAAAGTGTAGCTTATTCAAATATCTCAAAAACGATTCTCTGGAAATTTTGTTTTCTTTTTTCATCGTGATCAGTGACCCAATAATGCCTCTTTATTTTAGTTAAAATTGTATGCTAGAATATTACCCTCTACTGTAAAGCATTATGATCCACAATGAAAACGGTACATCATAAGCGTTCCTGTAATGCATAGCCCAACCGAATGTATAAGCAAAAGCAAAATATAGTCTCAGACGGAACTTCGTGAAGAAAATATCGTTGGCTCCGTTGCTTTAATATTTAGATCGAGCTTCGGCGCAACAACAACAACACACAACAACCACTGACATTTGCAAATATCACCTTTGGCTGTCTCCAACTAGGCAGCGGATTAAACAGACCTATTTTGCAAAATTTTTTGTGTATTCTTGTAAATCATTAAACTACCGATTTTAAGAGTATTCTTCAAAGAGAATCTGACCAGTTCTTTAGAATTCTTAATGAAAAATAGAAGTTGCTTAACTATCTTAATGATTTAAACAGATAAAACCAATAAGCGTTTCCATTTTTGCTTGGTGATTTGATCGGAAAGGTTGTCTCGCATGATTAAAATATGCACTCAATTAAAAGTTTTTATTTTGTCAGATCTTCAAGATTTTCAAGGGCTCTACAAACGTGTTAAAAGAGCGTCGATGTTAATTACTAAATTAATATTAATTATTTTACAGCTTAAAGTAATTGAAATCGACGTTTTAAGATAAAACAAATCAAATAAAGCTTTCTAAGAGTTTTCTGAGCCAGGGTGATCATCACTGGATCATGATCAAGGTAGTGGTCAGGTATCTTGGTCCAATTGGAGATACAGAAATGTCTACAAGGGCTAAAATGAATAACATCTATAAAGTGCATTACTATCTAAGATAATTTTGTGTGTATAAATTGCCAGGGACTAGTTTCCGAGATGGATCATCAAACGCAAGTCGTCCAGCAACTGGAGGATCTTAAAAGTTTTTACACCCGAGATTGGCCCAAATATTGCAAGGAGTACTACTGCCTGGATAATTTTCTGGATCTCCATAAATGGGACCCCCAACTGAAGGATGTAAAAGTTTACGCTCTTCCCAATCTAGAACACGGATTATTTGTGATTGTGGTATGAATGTGATAGATTTTTCTACAACATGTGAGATCTTTTTTATATTTTAAGGACGTTATCAAATTTTTGTCGGTATTTTGGAAGCTGAAAGATCTGAAAGTGCTCTGAAGGAATCCTTATTGAAAATAGACTTTTTGGGCGGCGAACAATTTGCTTCTATGCCAAAAAGATATTTCACTGTTGAAAACGATATTATTGAGCAGAAAAATCTGAAAGTAGAACTCGATGGTATGACCTATTTTATGGTGTTAAGCAAAAAAGAAGCACTAAACTTTCAAGTGGAGTACGTATATACAAAATACAATGTAATAAGTATTTCAACTAATTTAAGAATTTTGGTAGACCAACGGTTGGCTTCTCTCTAAAATCTGTAAGTCTAGAGGACGCTCAAGTGATTAACGACCATTGGGAATGGAGTGAACACGGCGGTCTTTCTTATATACAACGCCAAATTTGCTATAATACCAGTGTGGGCTTGTATAAAGACGAGGACAATGAACTCGTTGCCTGGTGTATAAGGTAAGTATTTAAGATTAAGGTACAAAATAATTATTATTATTTTTTAACAGGGCTCAGGATGGTTTATTGGCAGCCCTCCAAGTCAAACCCTCCTACAAACGCCGAGGTTTTGGCGTTATGATTGTAAAAGAATACTCTAGACGAGAGGCTGAGCAAGGACGGGACATAATCACCGAAGTTGTTTCAGAAAATAAGGCATCGCTAAACCTATTCAAAAAATTGGGCTTTAGTATCAAAGATCAGTGTTATTGGCTGTTCACGGAAGCTCCAAATGAAGATTTATTATAAAACATTTATCTGCAAATATTTGCTTTGATGAATTATTATAATAATCCTTTAGGATTGTAACGTTTTATCATGTGAGGGAAGAATGTATGGGCTAGTTTTAAGAGAAACTGTTTAAGAGAGTTCTTTAAAGAGAAATATAGAAGCTGCTTGTCAAGCGAGTGATTTTATCACCAATAGCTAAGCATTTAATCTATTTTTGCTCGGTTAGTTGAAGGGGAAGGTTGTTTCTGAACGGAAATGTGCGCTCAATTGAAAGTTATTGGCTTGCCGGATCTCCAGGAGTTTCAAGGACTCTACAAACAAGACTGGCCAAAATATTGCCAGGAATATTACTGTCTGGATAATTTTATAGAATTTTTGAAGAAACAACCCTATATGAAGAACTTGCGAATTTATACTCTGGATATGCAACAAGCTAGAGAGGCGGGTCTTTTTGTTATAGTGGTGAGTAGTACATATAGGGATTGTTTTTTTTTTATGAGTAAACAAGTTACCAGTTAACAAATTAAGAGTCGACCGTCTCTTAGGATCGCTATCAACTGTTTGTGGGCAGTTTAAACAACGCAAATGGTCTTGTTGGAAGAGCACTGGATTTATTGGACTGGTCGATGGGTTTGAAATGCAGTTCTATCCCCTTCAGGCATGTTGATGCCTTGGAGGGTATTGTCGAGTCAAAAAAGTTAAGCTTGGTGTTCAGGGATTCTACGGATTTGTTTTATTTAAAGGCGGAAGAAGCTCTCAAACTTAAAGTCAAGTAAGTAATACTGTTTATTTTTTCAAGAATAATTTAATGCCCCCCATAACTTAGTCCACCAGCTGGATTTATACTTAGATCTTTGAATGTGGCAGACGCTCCTTTGATTAACGAAGAGTGGCCCAATCATCATATGGGATCGCTGTTCTTTATAGAAAGACAGATTCGCATGTGCGTCAGTGCTGGATTGTATCGGGAAGACCCTCAAGAATTGGTGGCCTGGTGCATCAGGTAAGCCACATAGCTTATTGTAATCCCATTACCTCATTCATAAATCTCGCAGATTACAAGGCGGCTACTTGGGAGCGCTGCAAGTGAAAAACTCTTACCAACGGCGGGGATTTGGCAGTGTAGTTACTAGGGAAATCTCGTACCGCCTTGCCTTCCAAGGTCACGATGTAATGGCCCTTGTAGGTCACTCAAACAAACCGTCCGCCGGCATGTTTAACAAGCTCGGCTTCCAAGTCATCGACCAATGCCTTTGGCTGAGGACGGAACCCACCAAAGGAGATTTCACCTGGCCCGAGGGCGAATAGTTGGGCGTTTAAATATCTGTATTAAAATATTACGACTATCGGTTGTATATGAATACAAGTTTGGTATAAAAATAAGCCAAGGCCTTTTCCATGTGCTATTACTAGTTTTCTAATCGGGCGAGCAATCGCTGGCAGCGATCCTCCAGTTGCAGGGGACTACGCTGGATAGTCGGATCCTCTGTGAGTGTCTTTGTGATCTTCCTCAAGCACTCGAGATCGTATTGCACATGATAATCATTTTTCCTATAGCTATCGAATAGTAAAAACTTGGTGGTTGAGGTTTCCTCGGCCAACCGGCGAGTGGCTATGAACTCCAGGAGCCCTATAAAATCGAGGTAGTTGATACCGAAGCTGGCCCTCAGCATTGTCTGGCAGTGGGCCTCAAAGTTATCCATCTGCTGGCAGTCGGAGATCTCCTTGCAAACGGCCTTCAAATTGTTCCTGAGGTTCTGCCAGACCAGGGATATATTGCAGCCGTTGAACCAGTTGTGATTGATGGATATGGTGTCCGTTAGATTCCACACCTGGTGGAACCAGCCGCTGGGAACGAATACGGCTTCATTGGCCCGCTGATTGATGGTGTAATATCGGACATTGTGCTCTTCTAGCATTTTCTCGTCTATGCTGAATGGCGGATTTCCCAGGCGATCGTTCAGTTTGAGCTCTTCGCCCGGCGGCATTATAATCCATTTCTTGACACCCACAATATTGGTGGACCAACTGAAGGAGCCAAACACATCGGCATGGTAGGATGTCCTGAAATAATAGAGAATTAAGTATAGGGATAACAATTTTTAAAGAATTTTTTACCATGAGTTCTTGGGTCCCATATAGACGAATCTGTAGTCGTCCTTCTTCTGGTCAATCAGTTGTTCGTTGAGCCAATCGGAGGCAAAGTATTTAGGCACCTTATAGAAGTTATATCCCGGCATTTGGGCGGCCAGATGCCAGTCCTTGAGGTAGAGATTGTCCCTGGGATCCACATTACTATTGACTTCCTGCGACGATGATGATGGGTGATTTTCAATGCCATTCCTCCATTTCTCCAGGTAATCGTGAAAGTTCAGCTCCAGCTTTGTATGACTATTGAAATACGATGAATTACAATCGGCGACTGGAACCGGGCAGTTGGATATCTTGGTTTTGAGGTAGTCAAAGTTGATGGAAGACGGACTCGGATTGGAGTTGAGATCCCGGGATTCCTGGAAAACGGTCCAGTTCTGGCACTCCCAGTCGTTGGAGACGTCCGTTATGATGACCGGGAAATTCTTGTGCATATAACGCCAAAAGAAATCGTTATAACTCAGGCCAGTACACCGCTCGATTTCCGTGGGCAGCTGTCTGTCATTTTCCCCGATTTCCTCGGGATGCAACTGGAGCACGTCGTCCCCATCCCGCTCCTCTGACGCCATTCGATCTGGCAGTGGGTCCTCAGAATCCACAAGTCCTCAATCATGCAATGGCAGTTGTTTTGATGATAATTTGGAAATTTTGTTTTTTGTTATGAAAGTGGGTGACCATCACAAAAATAAACATAAGTCTGGGGTATCGATTATTCCAATCATCGATATGTAACTAAGCGATAGTTGTAATATTTTTTATGTAATCTAAAAAATACTAAAAATGATGGATAAAAAACTGTATTTTTTAAATATCTGCTGAATTAAAAAAAATTTAAATAAGTCTAAAATAACTAATTAAATTAATATACATTTCTAAAAACTTCGAAATAACAGGTCCGTATACACTAACGCGTGTTTTCGTTGAAAGCCGCGAAAATTCAAAATATCCCAACCTCCTGATGTGACAAAAAACAACACGTTGATTTTTATTTAATTGTTTTTATATTTACTGCAGTTTGTCTTTTGAGTTTTATCCGCTAAACATTTTACCATTTTCAAGTTTTTAACTACAATTTGGTTTTACATATACGTGTCTGAGATTGTGTGTTTGTTTCCGTTTAATCGTGAACTAAAGAGGAGATCAATTAAATTAAGAGACATTTGGAGAATCGGATATCGAGTTCTGTGTATATATGCATGTCTTTCTATGTTAGTTCGGTTAAATTTCTATATCTAGGCATATTCGTATATGTATAAACTTTACAGATATTTATTTTTGACCTTCCAGGTCAGACTAAAACTAAGTGATTACCAACAACTCTGCTCATCAGACACATACGCTTGAATTGATTGCTAGAAAACTATATAATGACAATAAAAATCAGAGCATAGGTAAAAATGCTATATACACATACAAAACCGTACAAAACGTAACAATAGATTTACTTTTATATATTTATGTATAATTTATTAGTAAAGAGATTTGTTATTTATTATTCGGTTTCGGCTTACAAAAATGTACAATTATTGATTTTGTATTGGGATTTTGGTTTTCGGTTTGCAATAATTGGTTTAGTATGTATAATTTGTTTACTTAGACTAGGCGCATTTTACTAGATTTTCTTCTTGGGTTTTCTTTTTGTTTAGAAGGTACAGAGAGACTGACTGACAGAGCGACAAGATCTATTTGTGTGTGTAGGGGGGAATATGTATTTTGGAAAAATCGTGACAACTATATGTTATAAAGTATTCCTATACATATTCCATTCGGAATCTATGTACAATTTATTGTGTAGCAGGCAGAGCCACGGCCACACATTGCTTACGAACTAATTTAGTATTTATTACGCTATTCATTCTTTAAGTTTTCACGCCCTTAAACTGCTTAAAAATTTAACTAAACATTTTATTTAAGTGAAACTAAGTTGTTTAATTTTTCTCTTATTTTCTCCTAATAGTTATTAATTTAAATATTTTTCTTATTTATTTTTAAGTGTATGCTTTCCCACTCACAAGTATTTGCATTGACTTTGAATGCAGTAAATTAAATAATTACCATATAAATTCAATATCTTAGTTTATTACATACTTGATATGTGGTTTTCGTGTAAATCATTAGAATAATTAAGGTTTCCCAGGGGAAAGAAATGAAGTGTTTGTTGGTCCAGTTGGAGATGAGATAACTAAGTCTGGTTTGTATATTGATTCGAGATAGAAAACTAAAAGCCTTTACAGTTAATTTGTGTGGGTTTCCTGTGCAATTTATAATTAGGTTTATTCTTGTTTGGCAGTCTGTAGATTGTCACCAAAATGAAAAGTAATTCGATTCGATTACCGCGGGAAAAGTGGAAACTATCCATACATCTTAAAGTTACATATATAAAGCTTATACAAATCGTACATATCTATGCTGTAATTTAGCCAATTTATATTTATAAATTTGCTACATTATTCACTATACATATGAAGCAGGAGTTCAATCGATTTCGCGTATGATTTTGGGGACATCCCCGGCATCTCTGGTACAACCTCTGTGTGTTTGGGTCCAGTGCTCAATTAGCTGGATGTACAATTGTAGGGGTCGTCGGTGCGGAAATTCGGATGATCCTCGAAGGGTTTGACGCCCGCAGCCTTTTTGTCGTCCCTCAGTTTCTCCACCTGCTGCATAACTCTCAGAAAATTTCCACCAGCCAGTTTCGTCAGCTCATCAATTGTCCAACCGCCTCCCAGAAGTTCAGCAAATAGAGTCGGATATGAAGATACATCCTCCAGTCCTTTGGGGGTACTAAAAATCAGATTTCAGAATCGCAAAATATTAGCCTCTTTTCTCGGATCATAAATAATTTTAATATTTTTTGCTGCTCTGTTCACAACACATATTTCAAAAAATCTCTACGCACAATTAAATTTAATTTTCGTGCACTACATACGAAATAAATTGAATAAGCACACCAAAGGCAGAGCCAAAGGCAAAACAACTCGTGTGCAGGACATTCTGGGCGTAATAAAGTCGCATTGAGTCAAGCAACACAGAAAAACAAATAAATAATGAATGGCACACAAAGGAAAATAAATAATAAATAAACATTTTGCTGGCCGAACGCTCAAGTGCTCGGTAATCATATTTTATGAACAGGCATTTGTAGAAATAAATAATAATTTAGTTTTATATGCAGGCGTTTAGGCCAAACACGGTATATATGACACAAACAGCAAACACGTTAGACTCAGTTTGGGTAAGAATAAATTCTAAAGTGTATTGTGGCTTAAATATATTTAAATAACTCATGGATTTGGTTTTAGATTATTATTTTAATATGATGTACATAATAATAAGCGCACTTTGATTAAACATAAATTGTGGGGCTAAATGTATAACAAGATTTAGACTGAAAACAATGAAAAGTGAAAGGAAATGCGATATTAAAAAAATGTGTTTGTTGCACAAGTAGTTTTGAAAAGTCATTATTAAAAAAAACAAAGAGAAGAACAAATATAAAATACATTTTTAAAAATATTGTTAGAAACAAACAATACAACAAAATTATTTAAAGACGTTAAAAAGAGCACAATAATAAGCATTAAATATTCTATCAGATCATTGCATATTTTTATTCCGGACTTTCAATATTTATTGACACTCTGTTGAGTCAACAAAATACTTTTTAAGTATTAAAAAAAAGCCATAGCAACTGCGTCCGACTACAAATTGCATGTCCTTTGACTTGTAGCCATTTTTAAAATCTCCGTTGCGAGCAGAAATTGTTTTTCCGTGCGTTGACAAATTAAGAGCACTCATTTGTGGCATTTGATGCCCAAAAGTTTAAATTTAATTCACAATATTTCAACAAAATTATCTGAGCAGGTAATGATAATTTAATTAAATAAGCAAACCACAAAAAAGCTGAAAAGGTGTCATAGATGAAACCCAACGAACCCCTTATGGGGAATTTCGTTTTATTAGGTATGTTCCCCTGCGCACCCACCATGTGGTTTGACATGAACCGGAAACGAGACCATTTGACATTTAGTAATTTCATAGAATTTTAGATTATTTATTGTGTCATGCTCATGTTTGTTTCGTATTTTGGTCTCTGGCAATTGCCCCATAAATATTCATATATACAGCAATTTCAGCTTTCTTGTTTTTATTGGCCCCAAACACCTCAAAAACATTTCTGTGGTCGCGTTGCCCAATAACCAAAACAAAATGAAGTTCATTTCGGTGGAAATTGATTTACATGGACATTTTTTGCCGTTGTCCTTGTTGTTATTTTTGATGGAAATTCAGCTCATATGCTCATTTTTGGCCATGTACTGAAAATATTTAATTCGAAAACAGCCGAGGGAGATAGAAATTGGGGAGTGCAGGTAGTTTTATCAAAATTTCGGCTTCAACATTTTGTTTGTTTGCGCATTGTGTCCACGATGCAATGAAATGGAAATCTATGCAAATGAATTCTCCCCAGCATCACGGGAATAATTACAACGATAATGAAGACGAATGACGTTGATGATGATGATGACGATGAGTGCAGTGAAAGGACACGCTGCCACTGGACCACCGCCCATTGAGGTAATGAACATTTTGGTTTAGCTAATGAGGACAGGCTTTAAACATTTTTGGGATCAAATTGTAGCCATGTACTGATTGTCGAGTGATTTAATGGCATACTACAGTCATCCCATTTAAATTACAGATTTATTTTTCGATCATCTGTGCTTATTTCTCTTTTTATTTTAAAACTTTAGAATTTAGTATGCGTTTGCAGATGTGAAAAATTAATGGTTTATTTCTTAAAAATGTTCTATTAATTTGTCCTTATTTTTTAATATTATTTTAAGTGTTGTCCGTCAAATTTATTTTACCAGATTAATCCTTTTACGACTACCATAAGTTGCCCACCCCAATCCGTTAGCTGATAATCTTTTAGCGCTCGCCACCCATTTGAGCTCATTAAATTATCTTAAAAATCTCGTAAACAGATTGCACAAGTTGTTCGCGGAAAACTCCCAGAAAAAATACGACTGGGGAAAAGTGCCCGTAATGAGCGGTAAAATAATAACGGTCTATCCACATCCATCTCACCGCTGGCAATATGCCACTGTTAAGTCCTCGGCCTTAAATAAAATCAATTAATAACTTAAAAAAAAGAAGGAGGTGTGGCAGGCGAAGGAATGGAAACCACCTGGAGGACGTCGTGCATATATAAATAAGTCTATAGGTACACATATATGGACGGCGGCAAGCGAGGGGAGAAATGCGAATTTAAGTGAAATAAATGACTTTTACTTACTAATTAATGCCGTCGTAGCCGGCGCCCAGTCCAACGTGATCGATGCCAGCGACTCGCTTAATGTGATTAATATGCGCTGTGTGTTGAGAGTGTGTTGGTCAGCGGAAGGATATCCGGTGGCAGGGTTGCCATTTGTTGTCAAGTTCATTAGGGGCCATTGTTGAAGGACCGTCGCGCCATTGTTGTTGTATTTGCCGTCATAAGTCAGCGTTATTAAAATTTTCGCGATTTTGAAATGTGTCCACGGCAGCCGCAAAGACAAAGGCATGAAAAGAAAGTGAAGGAATGGACATTAGAGAGCTTTATTACAAGATAGACACTTGGAAAAAAAATGCTCTTTACTAGTTTTCTCAGATGATAATATAGTGTAATTTTTTTTATTTTCTATTCATTCTATAAAATATGCTTTAAAAAAAATTTATATAAAACAATTTTATATTTTATTTTATGTAGTATTTTTATTACATTTTAATGTTCTTCCCAGTGTAAACCAAAATAAAAAGGAGAAAGACATCTGAGGTGGCTCAGAGAATGACAACGAATCCAGGAAGTGATTACGAGAGCCATTTTGATGGCTCGTCAAAAGCAATGGCACAAAAATCAGAATAGAAAGGGGAGAAAAGGAGGCACTGCCAAAAATAGGATAAAGGAGGGAGGAGGCAATAATGAACTAACTGAAACAATAGCCTGACAATCAGGATCCCACACAACAAAGAGCAACCGCGACCAAGTCACTGGCTTTGATTGATTTCGGATGGGGCAAAGTTCTCTTAAAGGCATTTAGCCAAAGGTATAAAAGAAATTAAAACCGGTTTTTTGTACAGAAACTGCAATGAATATAATTTTTTAAATATAAAAATATTTATTGAATTTATTCAATATTTATTGAACAGTAAATAATTGTGATTTCTCATTTGTAAAGAAAGAATAATAAACTATTTAAACTACTACTTTTATTTAAGAACTTTTATGGATTTAAAGACAATAGAGATTTCTTAACAAATCCTTTAAATACAGGTTAATATGTGAAATATTTTAAAATATTTTAAAACTCAAATAAATAATAAAAAATGTTTTACAAAAGGGCAGCACTTACCGACTGCATCGTGCACGGTTGAGTTGTCGCTGCAGGAGAGGAACTTCGAGTAGAAGTTGACCATGACCAGGCCGCCGTTCTTGGCCAGAGCCTGCAGGATGTCGTCCTGGACGTTCCGGCTCGTGTTGCAGAGCTCGTAGGCCGAGGAGTGTGAGAATATCACAGGTGCCTCGCTCACCTCCAGGGCGTCCCTCATCGTTCCCTTGGAGACGTGCGACAGGTCGACCATCATCCCCAGTCGATTCATTTCGCGGATGATTGTCTGCAACGCATAGAAATTCGAGTAGTGGATTAATCAGAGGTGTGCATTAGTTACTTAGTCAGTGATTAGTGCTAAGATGCCGTCTCTATCTCCCTCTATTTTAATATACTTATGTGGGATTTTCCTCTAGACAGAGTCAGAAATGCCGAGGGCATAAAAACCTAAGCCGCATGTCATAAAACATAAGTAATGACCACCGAGGCAAAGGACATCTCAAAACGGTTTTCATTATGCATGGGCTTTTATTTAACCTTTGACTGCCACTTGACCCCTTAACCCGCTGCCGCCCCAAGTAAATTGATATTGCTGGCTGCCAGTGTAATTTGTATTTATGCGCGGATTTATGGGGATTCATTGGGTGAGTCCGTGGGCCTTACATAATTACTAATCTGATGCAAGTTTCCCCCCTCCCAAGGAGCGCACAAATTATGTGGGCAAAATTTATTACACTGCTAGCCGTTAAATTAGGGAACTGTGATTAAACATTTCAATGGCGGAAGAATTACCCCAAATGGAGACTTTTCTTGCCTTCTTATCTCGACATAGATTTTTAGATTTATCTATGCGTTTGGCAACACAGTGCGACTAGAAATTGAGCATTTAGTTCAGTTTGAAAAGTATAGTTTTATTTAAATGTACATTGAAAAAATATACCTAGTCACCAAGTTTAAAAAATATTTTACTTATTTTATTTTTTGTTTAATAAAATTAATTTATATTTCATTAAAATTAAATAAAATTATATGGATTAGTTTTCTTCTATGAAATATTCGACAAGAGGAATTAAAACCACTAAAATGTAAAACCCATTTTGAATTTCTGTTTTCCAAAACAACCAAGACCCATAAAATCCCTTCCCTTTTTATCCTTTTTTCCCTGGCCAATTTGCAGTGTATTTTATGTCCGATGCCGCCCCGCTGATAATTTTTAATTGCAGGCATATATACACACGAGATATCAGCATGCCGATAAATATATATATATATTCACCCCACATATGTACGCATATATTTATGTAACAACCGTATAGCCATGTCAATTGGAGGCGGCGGCATTTCGGTGCCTCTCAAATTAGCCAACAATTTGTAGCTGTTTGGTGTGGTGTGTGTGTGTATGTGCAATTGGGCGGAGTGTGTACTTAATGGGCGTGGCATTAAGGGCGAAGGCAAACACACACACTGTCAGCAACAAATTGCAAGTGTGTGCGTAAGAGAAAATGTGTATTAAATGCTTATTGTCGCTTAATTACGCACACAAAATGGCAAATAGAAATGGGCTAAGGGGGCGTGGCAGGATTCGATTTTGAGTGCTAGTAGGGCATTAAATCTTAATTAACGGTGCATAGGCACAAATTGGTTTTATGCACTTGTCTGCGTGCCCACAAAGGGAAGGAGGAGTAAATTAAAATTACCAAATTATTTGGTGATTAATTACTTAGCCAGGCAACCGGAAACAAATAATTTGTCAGGCAATATTTACTGATGTACATAAGTACATATTTATTGATATTCAACCCGCTTATTTGCATGAAACCCAACACCAGCAATCATTTGGCAGTTATAAAATATACATAATTATAATCAATTCAATTGAAATATGTTTTTCTCTCGGGTTTGTGGGCGATTCTCCACTCGATGCTGACCAGTCGCATTTAATTGAATTTTTAATTGCAGGTTTTCGGTTTGTTTGTGGCAAATAAAATGAAGGGAATTCCCAAATACTTTCTTACAACATTTGATTCTCTCACGGTAAACAGAAATTTTAATATTTTTATGTGCAAATAACTACGGAAAATGTCTCCACTTGTGCTATAACTTTGACACATTTCAGCCGGGGGCTGGATGTCCTGTAAAAGGACATCTGAACAAAGCCAGGCGGACAATATTCAACATTGACAATGAGGCATTTTTTTGTAAGTCAATTTCTATGGAAACTTTTCACATTTACTCATTAATGTCAGGGGCATTTCAGACGTGGTTATTTTATTTGTTATTATGTGGATATGTTTTCACAACAATGGCGAGTTCCTGACAGTTTGACACGAACAGAGAAATCGCTTCGATTGTTATTAATTTTGTATCAATTGCTTTCATGATTTAAATAATTTTGTATAGATTAGCCCCAAAGCTTTTGTGGAATTTCTACGTTTTTTTGGCAGCTATATTTTGACCCGCCATCAATTAAATTGAAATTGTTCGCGTCGATCTGGAATTTGTTCTCCGAAAATATTTAATATGCAATTTGTGAATTTGGGCAACCAAGGCCAAACATAAAAATTGCATTTCACTTTGCACAGAGATTTACCAACTGCAGGGGCAATTAGTTTAAGCCAACAGAGCAGCAACTATACAGCCGCGTTTAAATTGAATTTATTTTCAAATTAATTTAAAATTTTCGCTCAAATCTGGGCAACAACAGAGGAAAATCTGCGCACGAGGAAAAGTGCAGAATAACTATGCTCGAAATAATCGCTGTGAAGAGTAAATAAATAAACTCGACACGGAATAAATCCCGGCAAGTTGTTGGCCCTTTTCACAGGAGCATTAGGGTACAATGCAAAAACTCATTAAAACTTTAAATTGAAATAAAATAAATGCATATCCGCATAACTTGTATGAGTAAACTGAGATATGCATGTGCCTGCGTTTGCAAGGGGGAAAATAGAGAAGGAAAAACTTAAGATTCTTGTAGTTAGTTCCCTGAATTTTCAATTTTAAAATCTTATTTTTATAGGTATAGTTTTAAATGAAGAAACTCTCATGCAGCTAAAAAATCTCCATTTTAACAGCTTTATAACTATTTGAGGAAACTTTTATGTATTCCTCCTTTCATCTGCATTATGCGGATTTTCCTGACCCAGTTATCAATTATCAATTATCGCTTATGCATGGCAAATAGAAGAAAATACCAATTTGTAATTCCATTAGCCCGGCACCCATAACATTTGATTTATATGTTTGAATGCGTAAATGTGTTCAAATGCATTCATGGATGGGAATGGAAATGGGGATGGGTATTGGGACGAGGACGGGGAAAACCGCCATCGTCTTGGGTTCTCGGGGTTGTTTAAATATTTGAAAATCCATTAAGCATATTGACAATGCCGATGTGTCTGTCTGTGTTGGCATTCACTTGGGCACGGGTTTATTTGTGTGTGGGAGTCTGCATCCCGGCTCTTATTTAAATATGGCCGCCTTAGGGTTTTCCTTTTCCCTTTCGGATTTTTCTTTTGCCCCCTGCGTACCCTCTTTTCCACCCCCCACACTGTTTTGGCTCCCGCTGAATGGATCATTAGTGCAGCTAATGGCGCAGACAATAAATGGCGGTGCCACGCCTACAATTTGAATTTGAATATGAATTGAAATGGCACGTAGTACATGGAGGAATATAAAGTTAAGAGCGTTTTTAGAACTAGAAATTATGACTTATTCTAATTTAAATTTAAATAATTTTAAACATTGATGTAAATTTTAAGTTTAAAGCTTACTTTAAACTTAGCATGCTGACTTTACTTTACTAGTATCTATTTTTGATATTTATAATTATCTGTACACTAATTTCACTGGTGAATGTGGCTTAGGTTTTAGTTATAGTATACAATAGTTAGTTTACAATTTATAAGGAAATTTTTTGCAGTGTTTCAGCTGAGTGAAGTGAAATAAGGATGGGCAAATGGAGGCCCTGTCTGAAGGGCTTACCACAAACAGACGCCGCTGGCATTTCCGTCCAAGCGATTGGAGTCGTCGAATGAAGGCGGCGCCAGGACCAAGACATAAAACGGATTTATTAGGTCATTGCTGGCTGTGGTTGTCAGGGGTCGGAAAATTCGAGGAGAATAAGGAAAAAGGCTGAAAAGCCAAACCCTCGGCAATAAAGTGTGGACTTGCCGCTGCTTTCTGGGCGTGGAGTCTCATTATTTTGGCTAATAATTTTTGTAAAATGCCAAACAACTTTGTGCTGACATTGAACTCGTTATTTGCAAATTGAAAATAAAAACACTAAAACCATTAAAAGTTGGTAAAGATATATGGAAATGTCCTTTAATAATTTATTATCTATTTATTTCTAAAAAAGGAATAGGTTTTTCTTTTGAAAATAATTAAGAGTAAGCTTAAAAAATTCACATATTTCAATGAAGCTCAGGAAAATTTAAGTAAAGAACAGAAATCTTAAGTTAAATTAATTCACGGAACCATGTCTTAAAATCCAATGTTAAGTCTTACGTGCCAATTCCCTATCCTTCAATCTTGTAATCTTTGATCCCCGCAGGAATATTGGCAATGATTAACAATCAAATGCCAAACTGCAGTGAAGCACACTGTTTACCCAAAGCTCAGTTGCAGGTCACACAGCCAAGCTTGCTTCGGGATACTTAGATCCCTACTTATGAGCTCCTCTAGCCCCACATTTTCTTCACTTTTCACGAGTTTCACCACGCCTGAAATAGCAGAAAAATGCTCGCCTCTTTCGTCAGTTGCGTTTGGCTCGCATTTCCCGGTCTGGCTGTCTATCTTTCTGTCTGAGTCTATAATTGAGGCGCTTACTTTGGAGGCGAGGAGTGAGGAGTGAAGAGAATGGTAGCGAGCAATCAAAGAGCGTGGAAAGTACTGGGGAAAACTGCAACTGGAAAAACAGCCAGGGGCTACAGGTGCACATAGCAAGGTGCTCGAAAGGGAAAGGCAACGAATCCGGCTAAGATAAGCAGGGAAAATGAGATATAGAAGATGCGATGAGCCAAAGCAAACACCAAGGTAGTGAAAATATGCGAAGAGCGTAATGAAAATGTTGCAATAAATTGCTTGGCAACCAGGGTAGAAATTAATTGGATAAATATTTTGGTAATGCCACAAGAACCCAACCCAAGTAGAGAAAGTTAATTAGGAGTTCAGCAGAGGTTTTAAATGAGTTTTCGCATTCAGTTGCAGGCTAACATTTTTTTTTTACGATGGATTTCACGTTAAAACTCGGCGTATATTTTAATACCATTAATTTGTATTTTT